CCCAAGGGAGAACTTAAGCACTCTTTTTGGCTAACGAGGCATTTTAGCAAGGGTTTTGACTCCCAAGGGTGCACTTTAGCACGTGTTTCAGCTCTTAAAGTGGGACTTTAGTAATGGTTATGACTCCCAAGGGGGTACCTTGGATGTGTTCTGACTCCCAAGGGAGAACTTAAGCACTCTTTTTGGCTAACGAGGCATTTTAGCAAGGGTTTTGACTCCCAAGGAGTCACTTAAGCAGACATTTTGACTCCAATGGGGGCACTTTAGCACGTGTTTTAACTCCCAAGGGTGCACTTTAGCACGTGTTTCAGCTCTTAAAGTGGGACTTTAGTAATGGTTATGACTCCCAAGGGGGTACCTTGGATGTGTCCTGACTCCCAAGGGAGAACTTAAGCACTCTTTTTGCATGTTTTTTTTTAATATTGGGCCAGGGGGCATGACTAACCCCCTGTGCATTTAACTGGTTCATCCAGATCCAGCCATAAAGGCCTAGTTTGTGTTGGAGCAATAATCGTTTCAGACAAAAGAGAATTTTTTGCTACTTTTTCTTGATTTTGATAAACCATCTTTAACTTTAAATTTTAAAACCAGTTTCTTTGAAACGTGAGCAGGAAGAGGCTCTACGCTCATCCATTTTTAAGAAGGACGTATTATCGCCATTTTTACCGACTGGCTGTTTGTTTGTTTACACCCCCCCACCAGCTTTCTGTCATGCGTACTACGTCACAGTCAGTTGCGCTCATTGGTCAGAGCGTTGGCCAATAGGCACAGACAGCAGTTTGAAAGACAACAGGTTGTTCTCATCAACAATCTTCCTATATCCTGATATATATCCTGATATATAAATCTCTCAGCTGAAAGAGGGCCTACTTTCTTCTCCCTTTTAAAACGACTGAAGGTTTCTGATTAAAGGCAAAAGAATGCTGCCTTTTTTTTCTTAAACATTACTAACGAATGCCTTTGTTTGGATGAAACCAAATGCTTTCGTTTTTTAGTAACAATTTCTTGATTATGGACAGAAAAGGTACGTTTGTGCCGTTTAAGCCTAATTTCAGCAGGTGTTTAGTGATCAGTCGCTGTGCTTCCATTACAAATGCCTGCCAAATTTTGTTCATCTGCTTAAATTAAAAAATTGTAGTATTTCCATTAAATAAGAAATGCAATTAAATCACAGGAATACGTTTATTTACCTGATAATTCATTAGAAAACACGCAGCACTATTATCCTCTGACTACTTTCCATCTTCTTCAGCTTTAATGATAATAGTACCAGCTAGGCCTGCATCTATGGATTATAGTGAAGTCAATGAATTTAATTATTATAATTTGGATTAACCGAATAATTGAATAAAATGTTTACATAAGTTTTTAATTGACTGTAAATGGCAAAAAAAAGTATTTGTAGGAAGTATTTCCATTACAGTTTTGTGAAATGCAACTTAAAAAAACTTATTTTTTAATTTTAGTTCCCTTTATGCTCATATTCAAAGTTTGCCTAATTTGATGGTCAATAGAAACGCAGCTATTCCTCCGATAAGGGGCTGCAGGTAGTTTCTCAGCCGTAAACACTGCGGCTCATCTGTTAGCGTTGCTGAAAGAGATGCAGAAAACCAAGCTGTCTCTTCTTCTTGTCCCTTTCTTTCTGTTTCGTCCGTAGCGACAGACAGTAAGGACGAAGAGGTCAGAATCCCTAAGAGGCTCTTTCTGGGTACGTACCTTGAAACATCAGTTGTAGTTCATCCACCTGCTCTTCTTCTTCACCTCCGTCTGATTCCTCATGCATGAAGACTACCCTGCTAATACTCCCCATTCCCCCCCTACTAACAGCAGCTGCCCACATGTTTCAGGGAAGCATGAGCCTCTCTCACCTGCATGGAGTTTCATCTGTTTCCATGGTCACTGTTTGTTCCATACACCTGCTGCATTAATGCATGCTACTGTGGATCCATCATTGCAGTGAAGCTTTGTGGTTTTTGCATGTTCGGTTTACGTCTCTCTTCGACACGCGAAAAGACATTTCTGACACAAACTACAAAATTTCACATAGAATCGCTACAGACAGCCGTGTTGCTAAGCTCTAACATCATTAACCAGAGGTGTTGACTATAATTGCTTTAGTGCTTTTTCACTGTCTGTGCTTTTTTTTTCAGTATGCATATTTCTTTTTAAACTTTAACCCTTTATAGGGCAAGTTAGCATTTTTGAGCCCCCCCATCCCTAAGTGAGGTCTAGAAGCACAAGATCTATATCCAGCCACTCAGCAAAGATCCTGCTACATGGCTGTACATCTTATTTAGACATTTTAACAATTAGATGAGCCCTTGAATGATATATTACCTACTGGAAATTAAGTTGAGGGAAAAAAAAAAGGTATGTCGAGGAAAAAAAGGAAAAAGTTGAAAAGTTAAAAAGTTAATAAGCCTAATTAACAATTATATTTAGGTTTATAACTGAAAATGTAAGTGCCAGTATCAGCATTAATGCCTGTATGGTTATGTTGAACCAAAAGAAAATGTGTTTCTTTCACTCTCAGTGTTTTTCATGAATTTCTCATAGAAGTACTTTTGTTATTTTTCTTAATATATTCGGACAAGTTGGCGTTTCTTGTTATTACGTTGACATTCATTTTTGCCATCAAAATATCCACATTTTTGGAATGTTACAAAGGTTATAAGGTCTTTTGTATCTCTGCTTCTGTCTCCTTGAACTAGAGACTGACATTTTTTCGGGACTCCCACGGATCACGGGATTCCCATGGGATGGGAGTCAGTATAAGTAACGATCACGTGATTAGGACGGTACAGGATTAAACATTAACGGGAGCGGGAGCAAACCAATATTAACTAAAAAAAAAAAACTAGGATCGATGCCAAAAATTAAAATAGAAAGAAAAAAAATCCAGTACTGGCGCCGCCATTTTGTAGTTTTTTTCCTTGAAGCCTACACTATAATGCGAGTCAAAAAAACTACACGACCCAAAAACCAACAGTGCTTCCGCTCTGAGTTTTTCACCCACGCTCAAAAGAAATTCAGATTCAATGTATTGGCAGAAACCTTATTGAAGACAACAAG